TATATATATATATATATATTATTTTTTTTGATGTTTTTTTTTTTTTTTTTTTTTTTTTTTCAATCGGTGACTCATTTGAAGAGCATTAGTCTGTTTGATGTTTAATATATATATATATACATTTCATTTTTAATTAACAAATAGTTTTATTTATTGTAAATATTAGTATATATCAAAAAATGTTCAAGAGATATCAAAAAGTTGCAATTGTAACAGTTGTACTATTTTCATTGTGGCTTGCCATTTTATTAGATTTCATTCAATTGAATTTGTCACCAAGTTTGAGATCTATCATCCCAGTTGTAGGTTATCTTGTATTAATGATACATGTTTTCAATCATTGTAGTTGTAAAGTCGAATCAACTATCAAAGATCATAAAAAAAAAAAAGATTGCAAACAATATTAGTAGATTCTTTTGTATTATTATCATAACTTTAACATTGATCGTTCTTCCCTCATTCTAGTTACCACTTTATGCATTGGTCACATTTGGAAGTTACTCATTAGGTTCGATTTCATACAATCTATTGATTATGAACGATTGTAAAGAAGCTGCCGACAGTTTATTTGATGTTCGTATTTAAATTAATAATAATAACAGTAGGAATTCATTTCTAAAGATTACTAACAAAAATAACTTTTTTATTTAAATCCATTGCTATCATTTTGAACTTCAAAAAAACAGGAAATTAAGGAAGCAAAACAAAGTTTAAGATCAAAAGGAATGAAACTCAAGGGTGATAAATAGATAGATAATTGAAATAAATAGAAAATACATTAAATAATAACAAAAAAAAGGCATTTTGAATATGATTTGATTATGACTATTTCGGAATAATAACAAATGGTGAAAGAAAAAGTTTGTTTTTGTTTGTTGTTTGTTTTTTTTTTTTGTTAAAATAAATACTATATAGATTATTTTTTGTTATCTTTATTAGTTTTTGATTGTTTATAGTGCCATATTCTTGAGATCACCTTCTACTTTATGAAATTGATTGGTATAGCAAAACTTTTGTTTAATCATATCGTCTTGTTCATCTATAATCTTTTGTTGTTCTTTAATCTTTGATTGTGCTTCATTTAGTAATTGTGATTGTTGTTGAATCAATAGTTTTAATCTTTCTATCTCTTCATTACTATTATTATTATTATTGTTATTATTGAAATAGTTTTGATTATTAAAATTGTTATTATTATTATTATTATTATTATGATGTTGTTTTGATGATGATAATAACATTTCATTTATATGATTATATAATTCATCGGCACTTGGTCGTAAGTCGGTGATTGGATTGATCATCAGTCTGAGCAGTGACCAGAAATCGGGCGAGTAATCTTTGGTCTCTATGAGTTTACCGTCACGTATTGAATTCCACTCGCTGCCACCTGTCGGTAGAGGTTTACATCTTGCCAACTCGTACAACGTGCAACCAAGAGAAAATATATCGGATTTCTTGAGTGCACGCATATCGTCATGTAGCAACTCTCTCGACAGATACCTACTGTCACCTTCAGAGAAATAATTACTATCTGTTGCTTCATTTAGTAAACCTAAATCACCCAACTTATATATTACATTATCATTATTATTATTATTATTATTATTAACATTATCATTATTATTATTACTGTTATTATTATTTCTATTGATACAATTTATATGATTACAATTACAATTCTTATTATTACTATTAATACCATTACTATATGATTTTTGTATATAGATATTCTCTGGTTTGACATCGAGATGTACGAGACCGAGAGAGTGAATATGTATGAGACCGTTCAGCACTTGTTTGGCGACATTGAGTAAGACTACTTCCGATTGGATGAGATGGTTCGTCACCCATTGATAGAGATTACCACCGCCACAGTATTCCATTTGTATAAAAATGTGAAAGTCTTCCTCCCAAGCATTGTAGTATCTTACGATATTGGAGTGATCACGAATTGCCGACAGACCATAGACCTCTCTCATAACAAAGGTTCTCGACGAAAGACCTTTCATTTGCTTCTTGGTTTTCTTTACTGCATAAAGACAACCATCCGTTCTATGTCTACATTTATACACCAATCCAAAACTACCTTCACCAATTAACTAAATTAAATAATAATAAAAAAATGATAATAAATTATTAGTTAGAAAGAATGATTAATCTATTTGCTATATATTATAAACTTACACTTATTTGATCAAATGTTGTTTTATATAAAGAATTAATATTTTCATTATTATTACTATTATTATTTACAATATCTACAGTGTTATTCATATCTATACTATTATCAATATCTACAAAATTATTATTACTATTATTATTATTATTAATGCTATTATTATCGATACTATTATTTATACTATTATTTGGTGGTTGATTTGGTTTCTTTGGTAACATTGCTTGAAAGTTTTCATTGGAAATGAATGGATTTATATTGGTTGGTGTATTGATTGGTGATGACATTGAAGTGGAACGTTGTCTTTTTACATGTCCAACTTGTGTATTAATGAAAATACCATTTGTATTACTATTATTATTGCTATTGTTATTGTTATTGTTATTATTGCTTGGTATATAATCTAATGGATCGGTTGGATCGTATGGTTTAATTGGGTTACTGAGAATGGCACGTGATTTTTCGAGTTGTCTATTCACCGATTTCGGTGTGGGTGTAGGTGGTGGTGATGGCGAAGGCGACGGTGAAAATGAATCGTAGTTGAATGCTTTCTGATCGGGTTTAATTCGATTTTTCGTCTCACCATAGGAGAATGTAAAACTTTTGTTGGGTGGTGGACGCATTGTATTGCTGTTGTTGTCGTTGAAACTCCAGGAAACTGGTGAGGTCGGAAGTGAAGAGGATAAAAGTGGAGAAGATGGACTGCTACCGCTATTTCCATAGATCATGTTTTGTTGATGTTGTTGTTGTTGACTATATAGTTTGGGTTGTGAAGGATATTGATGGTGGTGTTGGTGAGACGAGGAAAGGTTAAATGGATGTGGCATGGCGATCGATGATGATACCGATTGGCTATGTTGATATTGATTGAAATTTCCACTGTTACTATTGGAACTACTACCGCTATTACACCCGGAACTATTGTTACTACTACTGCCAGCAGAGCTCGAGCCATTACTGAAATTCAATACTCTGGCACTACTTCCTGGAACTTTAAAGACTGGTTCGTCAGATGATTGTTGTCCATTATTATTATGACTATTAATGATATTGTTATTGTTGTTTGCGGATGACATGGTTGGCGAGGTTTCCTCAAAAAACAAACGACGTCCTTTTCTGGCATGTCCATGTGATGACGAGAAGGATGGACTTCCATCCGAAAAATTGAGAGGAATCGATTTGGGGAAAGAGGAGGATACGCCCATGGTTGGTGGTGGTGGTGGATTAGATAATGTAAATGAATTGTTATTGCTGCTAAGACTGAATGATTGTTGTTTGGAAAATCCACTATTGCCACCACCGCTGCCGTTAATTGTTGGTGTTAGTGGTTTTGCTGCGGACATGGGTGGAGTGACGCATGGAGTGATCGATTCAACTGGAAACATGAGATCATCCATCTGATTGGCTGTGCCACCACTGCCACTACCACTCGAAGACAAACAGGTATCGTCTTCCATTAGCTCACTATCGGAATCATTGTGAATGGTGGTTCTCTTTCGATGATTCTGAACGTAGTGTTCATCTACTGTAAAAGCTTGCATTCTTTTTGTTTTTGGCTGAGGTGTGAGACCGGTGATGTGTGTGGTCTATTAATTTGTGTGTGGACTTTTCCAACAATTTGATATTATCTATTAAAATATTGATTGGTTTATTCACACACACAAATTAAACCGGGACTGGAATTGGAAAACTACTGAAATATTGATAGATTGGTCGATTGATTTGACTAGATTTGATTTGATTGAAACTGGAATTGTTGTTGATTGATTAATTAAATGTAATGTTGTCTTGAAACTTAAAATTGATAAAGTATGTTTTTTTTGTTGTTGGAAATAATAAATAAAATAAAAATCGATATAAAATAATTTTGAAAAAGGTGGTCTTTTTGTTAAAATAAAAAAGCGATTGTGGGCAATAGTAAGTCAAATGGTGGGATTGTGATCGGTCGTTTGGTGTGGGGTAAATCGGAAAGTATTAATTTTGGTATTATTTGTTGTTGTTGTTATGTGGTCAACCAAAGCAGTAAATCAGTTGGGGCAATGAAAAGATGGGTCAAAATTGTTGTTCGATGGTTTTCCAATGTTTCTAACTTCCTTTGAGAAATTTGTGGAACGCTTTGGAGTTGATCCAAGTGTGTGAGTGTGTGTGATGGACTGCAATGAAGGTATCGGGTGGGTGGAATAGTTTTGGTTGATCGTGTGGAGAAAAAAAAAAATATTGATCAATTTTTTTTTTTTTTTTATGACCCAAAAAGATTTGGTGGTGAATTTCGATGGTACAACAATATCTTGACACCACGACTCGACCAAAAAGGTGTAAAGTTACCCAAAAGTGAAAATAGGAATGCAAATTAAAAACAAAAAAACAAAAAAATGCAGTGCAAATAAATTATGTTATTATAGATGGATAGATTATAATGTTGTAAAGTTAATCTACTAATTAAATTATAGTCCTATAGGTAGGTAGATAGTTGAAGATAAAAGAAAATACAATAACATAATGGGGAATCTGGTGTTTTGGTTGTTTGTTGTATTGATGTTTCGAATGAAAGGTTGTTGGAGCGACAAACAACAGATCACTTGGATGTTGGTTGGAGAGGAGTAATAAGAACACTGAATGATAATTTACTTTTTCCTTCTTATTATAATAATACTACTACTATTCTTCCAATAAAAATTAGATATAGATCGGATTGTTATAAAATTTTGGCGCCAAAAAAAAAAAAAAACCTAGTTTCTTTTATCTCTATTAATAAATAATTTTTCGAACCAACACACAAAAATAATAAAAAAAAAAGAATTTTTATAACACAGAATCTTTAATCACTAACTATTCTCTTACAACTTAAGAAGACTTAGAATAATATTATAATATGACTTTTGGTTTTTTGTTGTTGCTGTGTGTTGTTGGTTGATGGTTGGTTGTTTTTGTTGTTATGATGGTGAAGAGAGGTGTGTTGTGTGTCAATCAGCAAGTTCTGATGATCATATGTGTGTGTGAAATGAAAAATTATGCTTTGAACTTTAAATGCTAAAAAAGTCGATTTAGTTTTTTTTTTTTGTTTAATAAAGTTGTTATAAAAGAGGTGAAGAGAGGTGTGTTGAGTGGTTGTTGTTAAATTGATTGTTTTTTTTTTATGTACGTTTAAATATTTTTGAACTGCTAAATTTTTGAAATTAATGAAAATCATAATCGTCATAAAAATCAATCAAATTTTGTTCCCTCTTTAATTGTTTCAAAAATAAAAATTAAAAAAATTAAAAAAAAATGTTTTTCATGCATTGACACTGATGATTTTGCAGCCTATTTTTTGGTTCTAATGGGGTCGAGGGTAACCAAAGTGTGGAACATCAAAAAACAGTAAAAATTCACAAAAAACACCAAGTCCTCCACAAAAAGTAAAATCATTAACCACAGGCAAATTTTTGTTAAATCTACCACCTTTTGACACGGTTTTGCTTGATAAAGTGAGCATATTTATTCAAAATTATCAGAACCCAAACATCAAGGAGAAAAATCGATTTTTTTTTTTTTTTTGATGTTTTGCACCTCACAACTAATTCAAACTCTGGCTTGTTAAAAAAACAAAAAACAAAATATTTTGTTTTTTTCTCAACTCTTCAATGTCTGACCTTAAATTGTCATTTGACTCAAAGAGCATTCGATGTTTTTGATTGGACAATAGAATTGAATGTAAGGTGTGTGATGATGATGACAATTTAGTTATTACATCGTCAATCCACTTAGATTTAAAACAAAAAAATACATAAATCTAAGAGATGTTCAAAAGATATTCTATTTTCACATTTCATACCAGAGACCAGTCTTTCTCATGATTCCCAAATTGTTTACTGATTCCCGAGGTAACTTGGGTGAGAATTTCTCGAGATGATGGGCGATAATTATAATAAATCTCACAAACCTTAAACTATCGACCAAACCTCAAATAATAATGAAAAAACAATCATTTTGATTTTGTTTGACTAATAAACCGGCTATGTAAATAGTTAATGCTAATTTAATAACTAATAAAAATATTTATTTAACTTTGTAATATTTCCTATACAATACAAATGAACCGATAATAACACTAAATAATAAAGAAAAAGAAAATAATTTGTTGTTAGTTATCGTTATACTTTTTTTTTTTCTTTTTTTTGATCGATATTTTTTTTTTTAGCTTCAAAAAATCTATAAAAAGAATCGTTCAACGATAGTTCAATTCGTTCTTGTTGATCTGAATTTGTTGGTGATCAACAATTAAACCGTTCACTTACCATCCTACAAATGTAACACTCGATATAACGATGAGTACAATTTTCCACGTGGCTAGCTTGATGGGTGGCACCTGATTCAATGGGTAGTTATTTGATTTCACAAAATATCTCATTAATACACTGTTGGATCTTGTAGTAATTATACCTTTAATTAGAACACATTATTATACAAACAAATTAATTAGTATTTTTAGGAAATTCACAGAATTTACATTGTTTTCTCTTCAAAGTTTAATGAAGAGAAGAGTGGTGGGGTGTAACAATATAGTGTTATGATATGATTTGGTATGATCTACTTACCAGTCTCGAAATACAGTCTCTTGGCAATCCAATAGGTAGATGGGATCTGAGAGAGTGTGGTGTTGATCCATATTGGCCCTAACTGCATTATTTCCTCTCTGGTAATAGGATTGGTAGAGCTAAAGGAGTAGTCATAGAGTCTATTGAAATCGATGATAGAGTTTGAAATTGACCATGATACTGGTGTTGATAGTTTTAACTAATTTAATTTTTAAAAAAAAAAAAAAAAAAAAGTTAATTAACTTATTATTATTATTAAAACAATAACAACTAATCTAATTCAAATAATAATATCTTACATTTGGTAGATCTATCCAATATGTAAAGTTATGTTTACTTGTTGGCACAGGGTCTACGAAGTGACAGTCCAAATTGAAACTAAAATTAGACATTCCATGATAGTCGAATTCAAAACATGTTTTTTTAGACATTACATAATCTATTAAAATATTAATTAATTAATAAGTTAATCTTTGCTATCTATTTATCTATCTATTACAATAAACAACAACAACAACAACAACAACAACAACAACAACAACAACAACAACAACAGAATGTTTGTACATACTTTCACCTGGACATTTTGATTGAGGTGAAACCAAGTTTAGACTACAGGTAATCGGTGTTGGTTGATCACATTTCATACTCGAAAAGTCAGAGGGACAGTCACAACTACTTGTGTTGAGATTGGCATTACAACCAAGCATACATGGTAACTGCTGTTCGATAGTAACTGAACAATTTTGATTCTTATCTTTACATTCCAACTATTTTTGATTTAGAGTTATAATATAAGTGAATCGAATTATATATTAATTAAACTCTAATAAAAACTTACATCAAGAAGTAAACATTCATCCTTTGGAGTACATGGTATGTTTTGAACGGAACATTCACCATTTTTGATCTGTGTGTTGTATTGTGTAAAGTTGGCTGGTGGCACAACGGTGTTGTTGTCACCACATACCAATTGTTGATTACTGCAGCTAAATCCAAATGTATTGATACCAAACGATGTTGTATTGTCACAGTTGACATCGAGTAGTTGACATTGATATAGGAATTGACTAGAACACTTCATTTGTTTGATCTGACAACTCTTAAGTTTATATTGATCTTGGAGATTATAGATATTGATTGGTTGTTTATTATCTTTGCAATTCATCTATTATTATATTAAATATTTAAAGTTTAATTAATAAATGTATGTTATTGTTAGTTGTTGTTTGTTACTTGATAAATAAGTAATAAATAAATTTTACTTACTGATACCAATCTACATTTTGAGTAATCATAATCAGGATCGTACGGTGTTCTTTTGTTCACAATGATGCTATTACCATCACATATTAATTGAGCGGGAGCACAAGTTGATCCTTGACAAGTATTCTAATTTTAGTTTAATCAGATTATTAGATTGTATTTTGTTAGTATACGAATATCGATCATATGTTTGTTAATAAAAAATCTATCTAAAATATATATATATATTTACTTGTTGTTCATTACTAAATGTTAGATATCCTAAACTATTACATAGTAGTGCTATTTTTATAAGTAGATGTAGATGTAGATATGTAAGTAAAGAATCTATAATTTTATTTAAAATGATATACAACAACAACAACATACATTTAGAATCATTTGCAGCGATTAAAGATTGTTTTAATGACTCGATATTATCATTGTGGAATAGAGGTTTACCACTTTTGATTTTCTCTAGCTTTGGCAAAGTATTGATTTCCTTGTTCTCTTCTTCCTCTTCTGCTTCATTGGCAAGATTGTTTATTTTCTTCTTCCATTGGTTCGCTTTTTCCAATCCTAATAGAGGAACATCCTTTTGTACTTTAAAAGAAGGTTCCCTTTGCTGTTCAGCTTTATCATTATTGCCAAAGTAGTGTTGCATTAATTTCTGTGCGAAATGATTGAAATCTTTTAGTACTTGTTCAACAGAGAGTGTCGATGACATTGGTTGTTGTTGCTGCTTATGTTGTCTTTGTTTAGGAGATGTTGTAATCTCTATTCTATGATTATTATCTTTACTATCGCTGTCATGATTTATGTACTCGTTAGTGTTCATATTACTACCAATAAAGTATTCAGTGAGACCATTGTAGAAGATCTGAAATATAGATGGTGGTTGTTTATTGATTTCAACTGCATCGTCATACATCATATCATTATAGTATTCATCATGATGTTGATCATTGATATAGATATGATTATTATTATTGTTGTTACTCGATATTCGGACTTGTGAAGCTGATGTTACATCTATATAAACAAACAAAACAATATTAACTATAGTAAAAAGTAAAGTTAAACTATTACTATATTTATATCTATATATATTCATCTTTAAATTAAAATATGTATAAATATAAATATATATATATAAAGTAAAGGTATCTTATCTAATATTAATTCATTTAAATTAAATTGAATTTGAAAAAGTAGGTGTTGTGCAATGGGGGGTGTTATGCAAAACAATAAAAATATTGAAATTAATTATGCATTCTTATCTTTTTGTGACCTTACAATTGCGATTGCAATCCGTACCATTCTAACTAATTCACAATGCCCCTTAAAATCTATTCTCAAATTATAGTTACAAAATAAATAATATTATAGTTATAAGTAAAAAAAAACAAGATATCAAATTATTTATTAGATAAAATTGGTATTTTTTTGTACATTCGTTTGTTAGTTAGTTTGATAAACTTTTATCGATGTCTATCTGCTATCTGTATATATAATATTTAGAATAAGTTTAATATTGATTCAGTTTCTTTAACATTTCTTGATAGTTATTTCTATATTTTATAAAAGAGTTAATATTACATAGATTATAAACTAACAAAACAATTGTATTACTTACTTTGTTAATTGTATCATATTTTCATTCTCACCATCTTTAATACCAATTGGGATCATCTCTGCACTATAGGTGAAGCTTAGAGCAGTACCTGGTAAAGATTTACTTGGTCTAAAGATATTCAAGATTGCATTTGGGAAAGCTTGGAATAGTGTTTCAATGTCTTTGTTATTAAAGTTATCCTTGATAATTTGATATGAACGAAGCAACAATTGAACGGTCTTTTCATTGCTAACATTCTGGAACTTGTATGGTTGTCCACATGTTGCCATATCAATAGTTACATTGATTGCACCTGTTTCATAACATAATCTTGCAGCCTTTAATATTTATATTTTAATAAGAGTTAATTAACTAATCTATCTATCTATTGAGTTGGAGTTGGAGTTGAATTAAAAAAAAAAACATAACCACCTACATCTGTAATTGGAGTTAGGTAAGTTACTCCACCATCGGCGTAGTCATAGCCATTCTTTTCGGTTGGTGGGAACAGACCTGGAATTGATGCGGAGGCAGCCACTGCTTTGACGATATCACTGTCGGTTTTGTAGAATTGATCAAACATTCCAGTATCGAGATTGGTTGCACCAATCATGAAACCACGATCTGACTGCTTCAAAGCGGTGATATTGATCGATTCTGTGAGGAATGTAGTCAATGGTTCTGTATTGTAGATTCCACGTTGGAAGAGGGCACCGTCGACGACACCACCTTTCCAATTGACATAGACTTGTTCTGGAGTGATCTTTAACCAACGATCAACCAAAAAGTCGGCAGCACCCTTTGTGTCATCAACATTAAACATTGCAACTGCAGCAGCATTGATAGCACCAGCACTAATACCGGTAACCAAATCCCATTGTAAATTACTTCCATATCTATTATACAAACCTGCAATTACTATTATTATTATGTAAAATCTTAGTTATTTTTTTTCTCAACAAATATATCATAATTAATATAAAACTTACCTCCAGCCTAATAAATTGTGATTGTTTTTATAAAACAAAAAAAAAACTACGAATTAATATTTATTTGTAATCATAAATTATTTAGATAATTGTATACTTTACTTCATAGGCTCCAAATGCACCAGCACCTGAAAATGTTAATGCTCTACAATTTGTTGCTGAATAACCAACATTAATAAATAGGGATAAAAATAAAATTGTAGATATAAATAAATTAGATTTAAACATTTTATACAAATAAATATAAATATTGGTAAAAAAAACAAAAAAAAGTCAACAAGGTGTAAGTTACTTAAAGATGGTCAAAAGTAACAACCCATTTAATTCACCAGTAATACAATTACACTGTTTTTGCAAAATATCTAAAACTTTTTTTCATCTAGGGAACTCCCAACATTCGACTCTGCGTGTCGACGTTACTTAAAAGATTTTAGAATGCAAATCTTTCGAAAAATCTACAATAAAATTAGATATTTTTTAATAATTTTGGACCACCTTTCAATGTTGGTATCAAATATTTGTTGCAAAAAAAAAAAGAGGTGATCTTCATAGGGATAAAAGTATACGATTTATTTTGTACATTATAATTTGACCAGGATCTAATGATTCGTTGGAACTATTATTTATTATATTCTCTTATAGATTGGATTGATTTGTTGTTGTTGTTGTTGTTGTTGTTGTTGATTTTGCGAAACCATTGATGTAGGACTTATTATTTGTTGTTGTTGTCCTTGAAGGATTGGAGAGTGTTGCTGGTTCATCGTTTGTTGTTGTGCTTGTTGATTGAAATTTGAGAATGCTTGTCGATTCTGTTGTTGATTAGCATTTGTTGATTTACCTCTTCTTGGATCTATACCAAACTGATTGATTGTATTTGTCATTCTATTATTTTGATTGTTATTCATATATTGATTATTATTGTTATTTTGAAGTTGATTACCAAAGTTATTAAATAGACCATTGTTGTAGTTATTATTGTTATTAAAGTTATTGGTATTAAAGTTATTGAAATTATTATTATTATTAGTCATACCTATCATATTACTATTCATAATAGAGTTATTATTATTTGTAATGCTATTGTTATTGTTATTTATAGATTTAGTATTATTACTAAAATCCATTAAATTACTAACAGTATCTTCACTACCTAAATTACTATAATAATTATCATTTAAGCTGTTATCTTGTTGTTGCTGACTTTGTTGTTGATTTTGTTGATTTTGTTGTTGTTGTTGTAGTAGCTGTTGTTGTAATTCTTGACTATAGAAATGACCGTAAGGACAATCTTTGTTGGTGCAACCAGCAGGGCCATTAAAGAATTTGCAAGGGTCAAGTTTGAGGTCATGTGAAAAGGTACATTCTGAACCTTTTAGACACGATCCCATCTTGAAGAACTTGCAGAGTTCAATCTTCTTTTCTGGAACAGGTCCTTCATGTTTGAATGTACATTCATCACCCTTGTTACACATTCCAAGTTTATAGAATTGACATAGTACTTGTGGTTGTTGTTTCTTTTCGCTAAAATTAATACCGACATATAAATTCGATGGTTCATTGTTGTTGGCTGATTGTTGTCCTCCTTTCTTTTGTTTCTTAAGTGGCTGTTGTTGTTGTTGTAGCTGTTTCTCTTTTTGTTTAAGTTGTTGTTTCTCTTGTTTGTATGCAAATGCAATCTTTCTCTTGGCCAACTTCTCTTGGTTCTTCTTTTGTTTCTTGGCATTCTTTAGTAGTTTACGTTGTTTTCTTGAAAGTTTAACTGGTTTATCAGGATCGGTCTTTGCTTCTCCAGAATCTGCTGTGGTCGAATCTTGTTGTTGTAGCAGCTGTTGTTTGATTTCCTCTGCATCTTTTTCCGCTTCTGTTTCCAGTTGATCAATCAACGAGAATGCACGCTTCCTGCCGGTTGTCGCTTGTTGGTTAGAGTCATCGCCACTCACTTCTTCATCACCAATTTCTTTGTCTTCTTCGTCGATTTCCAGTTCATCGTCGTCGTCGTCGTCGTCATCATCGTTGTCGTCATCACTAATCACCAGCCCATCGTCAGTGTCGCTACTCTGTACAAATGGTGAAGATGAGGTTTCCAACTCTTTACCTTCTTCACCGGCACTCTCATCTCCAACCGTCAGTTGATGATCATCAAAGATATTTACAGATGATTCAGCGTTGCCGATCAACTGTAACGGAGCAAATAGATTGGTTGTAGCAGTTGATTGTTGTTGTACTCTTTCCTCTACAGCTTTCATACTTGGGAATAAAATTTGAGAAGTTGGTTGAGGTGAAACTGTTTGTAATGGAGGTGTTGAAGCGTTTGCTTGTGGTGGTTTCGTAGACATCATTGTAGGTGATATCTTGGCTATAGGAGGTGATGGTGTCGAATTTGATAGAGATATTGTATCCTCTGATATTGGTTGAAGTGGACTAAATAATGATGTCATTCCATTTGAATTAGTAACAGGTGATGTTGTTGATTGAGCTGTAGTTAATGGTTTGGTGGTAGTTGGTTCATCTTCAATCTCAAAGACAAAACTATCAGGTGATATCTTTGCTGATATAGATTGTTGTTGTTGTGTATCTACCAATTGATGACTTGAAAGATATTCTTGTTCAGGCCAGAATATTCTAGAGGTTGCAGCATGTGTTGTTGAGTTTGATGATTGTTGTGTGGCATTAGCTATTGATTGTTGTTGTTGTTGTGGTGTTTGTTGAATCAATGCAAGTGGTTTACCAAATATCGAAGAGGCAGCCAAAGGTGTTGGAGTAGAGCCAGTTGCAGTGGTAGTTGAAGAAGAGGTAGTTGCAGGCTTTGAAGCAGGTGGTTTTGCTCTCAGAATAGAAGCATGTGGTTTGAGTAGTAGTGATTTCTGTGGCGATGAAGGCGGAAGCAATGTGATGTTTGTCAGCGGTACTGCAGAAGCAGCGGCTTGATTTGGATGCTGCTTCACTGGATCGTTTAGTAGTTCCGGTGTCTTTAAGTATTGGATGAATGACTTTCGCTTGGTAACATCACTGCTCAGTTCCTTTAGTGCATTCTCATAGGTTTCCTCACCATTTCTCATGAATCCTTTCGATCGTTGAATCAAGATCTTATCACGTAGCGCCTTTCTGAAACCAGTCTGATCGATGAGTGATGGTTTCTTGATAAGTGAGAGTATCGCTTGTACTACGGTAGGACTGAAGCATTGAACCAAGATCACCAGATGCTGGAAGTTGGTGAAAGCAGTGTCTAGCAATGCCATGTTGTCCTGTAGTTTCTGTTGTGGTTGTCTATTGATATTGTGAACCTTGTTCTTATCTTTTAGTAGCGATAGACTGTTGGCCAAGTCAGAGTCTGGATCATATAGATCACTATACAACGGGCTGATAATAGTACTACATTGATTTAAAATCGGTCTATATGTCTTTGATATTATCTTGCACCAAGTCTTTAAATAATTAACCAAAGTCTCTGATTTAGCTTGATGTAGATTCGACATTTTTAATTTTAAAATAGTTTTAACTTCTAAATACTAATAATAAGATTAAATTTGTTATTATTAATAATTGTTTTGTTAGTTTATAGTTGATAAGTTTTTTTTTTAAACATACGTTGGCTTCATGTGATAATCCAAACTTTGAAAGTGCATAACAAGAAGGTGCGGAAACAGTTGTATTGTCATCGGCAGACAATTCAAAGAGTAATACTTTGAGTGGATTGAAGAATGGTGAACTCAATGCATTGAGATAGTAGGTGATTTGTCCGTAGGTGTGAAGAACCGATGCTTTCACAACGCCCTGATAACGAGGTGACGAGAGTATAGCCTTGAAGATCTTTGCCAACTTTGGGAACCAATCGCTTGGGCACGAACGTACCAACAATCCCAGAGCTTTAGCAGCAGCGACCTGCACCAAACAAACCTCTTCACGTTTCCAAGGATCATTATCTTCATCACCTTTATAATCATCCATCTTGTGATACTGTAACAAACCAATTGCTTTACTATAACATATTGCTTCTATTTCTTTATCATTTACAACATCTAATAATAATAATAAAAATAGTTAGATATATAAATTATGATTTAATAGTTAATAAATACTTACTTGCTGTTGGACATGATGCATATCCTAATGCTTGTATACCGGCTGCTTTAAAGAGATGATGTTGGTTATCGATTGCTTCGAGCCATCTACACATCGACATGGAACGAAGTTGTGAGTTGGTTTGTGAGAATCTGCCGAATGCCACTAGGATTGCGCATAGAACGTCTTGACTCGATACGTTGTTGTCAAAGTACTTCTCAAAGAGCGATATCAGTAGGATGTTTTGGTAGATAGGATAACGTCGACCGATTCTACCGAGAGCACCGATGCACACTCTCTTTAGGTATTGTAAACTCTCACCCTTGAACTCGAGAATCTTGGCGAGGAATGTAATTGTCTGGTTTACGAGTGACTCTTCATGGCACACTATCGAACCAAGTGCACTTATAGCCGCACGTATCACAGGCTTTCTATAGATGAGCGGTGACTGTATGATCTCTAGCAGCTTTGAGAATATATTGATGCGAAGTGTTGAACTTGAATATTGTGAAATCGATAGATCCACCAATGATAATACCGCTGTCTTTACAACACTATATTTACAAAATTAATGGTTAGTAATTGTATCCAGTAATTAATAAATAGATAATTATATATATATATAAATAATCATTTAAATCATATATAAAGATAAATCATTGTTTTGTTTTGTTTTGTTTGTTCTGTTTTTTGTTTAAATCAAAGAAGGATTATATATAATATATAAATAATTATATTTAGATATAGATAATGAAAATAACTCAATTCAATAAACATTGATAAACAAAATAGTATTTATAAATATAGATAGTCAACTCTAACATAAGTAAACCTTTGTTTTAAATTACATCATGTAATTGAATTAATACTAATTAATAGTTTGTTTAAAAAAAAACAAAGGTTCTACTTTTTGGTTGATCAATTATCCATTAGTATAAATAGTTTGTTTATATGATAATGAATTAAAGAGATAGTTTAGTTTAGATTTAGATTTAGTTTAAATATTTAGTAACTCATTAGTAAATACTATATTAATTCTACTACTTTGACACTATATTAGATCGTCACAATCTATGTTAAAATTAAACATAGAAGCAAAATCTATTATAGATTAGAGTAGAGTATGACTATATAGTTGCAATATTATATTTTAATTAATCATCACACAATCCTATCATATTAATTAAATGAAATTCCTTAACATTACCCTTTCACTAAATTACTACTACCAAAACAGCATTTTAAAACAAACAGACAGAAGAATAGTAAAACATACAAGATGAATATAAATATATATATACATTAATTATATAATAATAAAGAAAAAAATAGAGTTATAAGAGGTAGAGTTAATTATAATCATTTAAACAAACAATAACAACAAATTTATACAAAACAACAACAACTAAAAAATAAAAAAAGATATACAACTACAAAACATTATCAACAAGACAATGAATTCTCATATAAAGATATCTAACCTTAAATCTGTTTGAGATGATGAACAATTTGTTGGATCTATCAATTTAAAGCACATTGAAAGTGCATCTTCAAATTCTGATGATTTCTTAAAATTATTACCAGTTAAATGATTTACATTATTATTATTATTTGTATTATTATTATTTGTATTATTATTAATGTTATTATTATTATTATTTATTATTATTATTCATAACCTTTATGTTTAAATAAATAATTAAAATTTTTATCAACTCTTTATCTTTAAAAAATTTACAAAAACTTTTTTTTTTTTAAATCAACAGGTTTATTAAAAAAAAATACAATTTTTAAAAAATTAATGTTGTAAAAAAGAGTTCCTTTTTAATCACATATAAATAAAGAATTTACAATTAAATAAGAATAGTTTTTCAAAAAATTTGAACAATAGATCAGTGGTAGAGTAGAGGACTGCAAATCATTTAATCCCCATTTTACAATCTCCTTTTTAAGAACGGGGAAAATGTGGTTAAGAACACATCAAAAGGTGACATAGCTCAGTGGTAGAGTAGAGGACTGCAAATCCTTTGGTCGACGGTTCAATCCCGCCTGTTACCTTTTTAAAAAATCATGTCCGCAAGCAGTATTAATTTTTCAATATTCAAAATTTAATTTTTTTTTTTTTTTGGATAGCTTTTGCAGCGATTAAAATTACAAATATCTTGTTTAAATCTGATTGGAATCTAAATCCTTCCAACTACGTGCCACCACTTTATACTGTTGTTCATCAACACTCAACTACTGTTAGATCTATCCTATCCTAATGCTACTCAACTTATTAATTAATAATAACTATAAACAATAATAATAATAATAATAATATTTTATTGGCTATTTCTCACGGCCTGTGTGAGAATGTATATATAATATAAAACACGAACTAGCAGGTTAATATCAATACCTGCAATTTGTTGACTGATCATGAGCCAACAAATCTTTTTTTTGCAAAAAAAAAAAAAAAAAAAACAAATATCTTGTCGACCACAGGGTTGCTACCTGATGCATTCACCGATACAGCAGTGGAGTCAGACTTTACAACAGCAGAGGTTGGTTTCAGAGCATTGCCAGTAACCGGTGCAGGTTTAGCAGGGGGTGGCTTGTATGGTATGAGTGTGCACTTAAAACCTGATTTCTCATCCTTGGCATCGATGCCTTTGAAGATTTTGTCATTAGGAAACAGGTACCATGACGACGTTTTCCAGATAGGTTTGCTGACATCATTTGTCACTAACTTGGTCGAGCTATGACTGAAGTGAAGTGGGGCGTGACCGAACATTCTCTCGATACCATTTTCGTCGAACTCATTTGCTACAGCCTCGAAACAATCTTTAGATGCAAGCGCCGAGACTCTGATAAAGTTAAACTCCGGGAAGAAAGCAGTTACCTTGCGAGATTTGGTAGCAGATAGGTTGCCATTACAAAACTGATGCAACTCGCCTAGTCTCTCAGAGTCGACTCTGCCAGAGAAGGTGACACTGTTTTTCTTGGCGGTTAACACACTATCTGCAAAAACGGACAGAGGTTTCAAAATATCAAACAGTAATACATTTATTAGTTATAGAAACTAATAAATATATTCTAAGATAGATCTTGGTTAAAGATTAATTATTAGAAAAAAATTGAAACATTTACCATTTTAAAAAAATTAAAAAACAAAAATTAATGTGCAATATTTTTTATTTATATACATTTAAATTGATTTAAAAGAAAACAATTAATAGGATGTCCAATAACCTTGGTTGAGGAATACTTGATTCAATCTGTTTGGCTTTGATTCATATAGTGATTGACAGTACTCCTGATTGTTATTATTATTGTTATTTATGTCCATAGTAGTTAATAATAATATATGATTAATTAAATAAAGTATTTAGTTTTGTTTATAGATTTAGTTTTATTTATTAATTTAATGTTAGATCTTCTGTCTATCTTTCTTGTCTTTCTGTATCTCTATCTGGGATATTTATATCTGTTGTTTGTTGGTATTTTACATTATTATTCCGAATTGTAGTATAGTTGATTCGTTGAATATAATAAAATCATCTGGATGATTTGTATGCTGGATTATATGTTGAATATAATTATCTGAATTGTAATATTAATTATTGGGTTAATTGTATATTGATATGTTGGTAGTTGAATAGACAATATTGTGTTAATTATCTATATTATCTAATATTATTGGATAACACTCCTCTTTCTTAAAAAGAAGTATTCAAGAAGAATACAGCGGTGTTGGATTTGATCTTATGGTACTTTGACATAAGTTTATTGCGGTGATGTGGATCGGTAACTGTCTCTAAGGCGTTTAGAATATTGTTCTCTCTAAAGCACTACAATTTTTTCGTAGTTGTTACGAAGTTTTTACATAGTATTCAACTCAATAAATGCAAAAAAAAAAAAATTTGTATGAAAAAGCATACTACGAATGGGATTCGTTATGCCCTTTTTTACACATTAAATTCGTAGTTGTTACGACAATTTATTTTTTAATGAGAAAAAATAACTTTAAAAAGAACACTTGCAACGATTTTATAGATAATCTATATTATAAATGAGAATATTTATTTTTTTGTTAATCATAATTACTATATTAGTATTTATTCAGAAGATAAAGCTTTTAAATGTAAACATACCAATATTGCATTCATAGACATGTCTCGTAGTTGAATCTACTATTGCAAAAGATCGTCAATGCATCATCGATCTCTACAATGTCAGTTTCATTTGTCTTTTGTATCTTTTCACCACCTTGTTTGAATTTGATACTGTTTTCAAATGAATTATTGATTATACTATACAATGTTTGTTATTGTAGCTTCCCACCAAGTGCTATATCGACACCATCTATTTTTTTTTTTTTGTTAGTTCACATTCTAAACATCAATTAAATATACACTGGAATGACATACTATTTGATTTAGCAAAGACTTTTTTGTCCATTTTGGAATAACGATGGGCGAACATCAGATGATCGATTATTCTTCTCTCTCTTTGTGTTGTTTGTCTTTGTTGTATTTCAGAAGTTCGAACGATCGTTGTTGTTCTGTGGTTGTAGTTGCTGTAATTTGAGTTGTTGCTGCTGTTGATGTTGATATTGTTGTTGTTGGTTCGTTGGTCGCATTTGTAGTGTTTGTTGGTTTAGTAGCAATATCTGCTGAGAAAGATATTCGATCTCCATATCTTGACTCTCCAAATAACTAATAAATGGATGATTTAAATTAAAAAAACTATTGTTATAGTAATTATTGTTATTATTGTTATTATTATTATTATTATAATTAATATTGTTATTGCTATAAGTGAAGTTATTGTTATTGTTATTGTTAATGTTACTGTTGACTATCTCAAATTAAATAACTATTGTTTGATATTGCTATCAAATCTGCAAATCGATAATAAATAACTATTAATTGACTATCTTAAATTAAATCTTAAATATTATTATTAATTGACTATCTCAAATTAAATAACTATTGTTTGAAATGATCATTTTTTTTTTTTTTTTTGGTTCGAGTCATCAAAATAAATTTTTAAAATTAATGTGGTAAAAATCTCGACAAATTGTAAAAAAATGATAACCACACTAGCACACCTTAAATTTTTACTATGATCAAAATGCACGTTTCAAAAGTGAAAAACTTTTTTCACACACTGATTTGTGTGGTGCCCATGACAACTACGAAACAATCGCAGTGAACTACCAACATATCAATATACAATTAACCCAATAATTAATATTACAATTCAGATAATTATATTCAACATATAATCCAGCATACAAATCATCCAGATGATTTTATTATATTCAACGAATCAACTATACTACAATTCGGAATAATAATGTAAAATACCAACAAACAACAGATATAAATATCCCAGATAGAGATACAGAAAGACAAGAAAGATAGACAGAAGATCTAACATTAAATTAATAAATAAAACTAAATCTATAAACAAAACTAAATACTTTATTTAATTAATCATATATTATTATTAACTACTATGGACATAAATAACAATAATAATAACAATCAGGAGTACTGTCAATCACTATATGAATCAAAGCCAAACAGATTGAATCAATAATATCAGTAAAAGTTAATAATGATATACACAAACTAATTAATCTTAACAAAAATAGTTTAAACAAAAATCTAATAAAAATTAAATTAAATGAATTAAAGAACGAACGTAAAGTTCAAGATAAAAATATTAATTTTTTGAAAAATAAA